AGGTTAATTCTCTGATAGAAGGACATACAGCAAATTAAAATGGTTTCATTGAAGCCATGGACATCTCCATCTGGAGCAGTTTCAACTCACAGCAGTGATACAAGCTCTGAAACATTCCTGTTTACAGACTGGTTTATAAAGAAAGCTAAAATTCCTTATCCCAAATACACAGAACAGAAACTCCAGTGATCCAGAGCTGGGTCAAGTACTGCTATTTTTCGATCAGCAGTGTCTGTGACAGGAACAGGGAAGAAAAGTTATGTTACAGCCTCAGACATCTAATGTCAGTCCACTGCCACTTGTGCACTAGAGCCTTTAGAAAGTAATGGTGACCTCAGAGCAGAAGCAAGATGTTGATGGTTGGTTTGAGTGCTTTTTGCTGTCAGAAATTCTGTATGTTTCTGATGCAACAGTAAGAAATACTAAGTGAACTCTCTTGCTGGTCTTGTTTCCATTTTAATTTTATTTTTTTCTTCTTCCACATTATGGTGTTTCAACTCCAAGACAGACTTGTCTTCTGCTTTTAGTACTATTACACTGGTATTTGGTTACAAGTAGATAATTCATCCTTTTTTCTGCAGTTGTTTTTTATAAATCTAGTTTTAGAACTGTCTTGATTTATATCAGTGGAATGGCCAGTAAGGGAAATAACACAATATGATATATTTTCATTGCCATTTCTATGTGCTGTAGAATTCTGAAAGCAAGTAAGAAAGAAGCTGTGCTGGGCATCATAGAAGGGACTGCAGTAATTAATCTTCATTAGGATTGCTGCCATGGCCTTGTGAATTAAAATTTATTATGTGGAAAAAGGTTTGTGGCACAGCATGTTTGATTAGCAAAATGCCAATATGTGTGGGATAAATTATTCCTAACTTTTCTGAACTGTATTTTATTAGCAGATTCATTCATTATTCCCGTTCATTTCTTTGGGAAAGAGCTCATAGTGCAGCCTAGAAACTTGTCTCATGATTTGCAGTTCAGTGGCAAGGGCAGTTCGTTTCCAGAGCAGTGTTGGTAAAGCAAAGAAGGCTCCAGAGAAAGCTCTGATAAATGTTAACTGAAGCAGAGCCTGTCTAGAGATCTCACAGTACCAGGCTGTTTAAACAACAGCAACTTGGCTGTGTGGTTGCACATTTCAAATGGCTGACTCTCAAGCACTTAAAATCTAAATATGACAGCTTGTCTAGAAGCCCAGGAGCGAGTTAAGTATTAACAATTAAAAATTTCCTATTTTTTCATGGTGTCACCTCAGAGCACACTTGTGAGATTAATTTTAGTAGTTAAATTAAGAAAGTTTCTTGGAACATAGCTAGCCATCAGAGTCACACTTGGAACCCACATTTCCCATGTGCCATTCATATATGCTGGCATTTATTTAAGGGACAGGATTCATAAACCCTGCTGTAGTGTTTAAGTAATAAACATTACCTATGAAATGATAGTACCTTCCTTTGTTATTACAGCTGTGCAAACTGTGACCACAGAAATCAGTGTGCCTGTTGATGAGTTGGCTGTTGGTACCTCTTTGCCTGTGTAAACACAGCCCATCCCAGTAAATCAGGCAGCTTCAGACTGTACAGGTCATCCAGGCAGCTGAAAAGCTAAATTGCGCCAGATGGTAAAAGGAAGGAATTGTAATCCAGCTGCACGTGTCACTTTCTGAGTGCTATAAATAGGAGACTGAGAGACACACTGGCTCTGGTTTGTATCTGAATTGTGGGGTTGCGTTCGAATTGCGTTGTTCCGTTAGAAAATAGTTCACCTTAGAGTAACTTCATTTTGTTTTAGTTATTTGTAGACCCCAGCTGGTAGTGCATCAGTTTGTGAGTTTGTGATGAATAAGGGGCCATTTATGTCCATGGGAAGTGACCAGTGATAAAAAGCCTCTGCAGAGTGGGCTTACAGGCCTTCAGTCAGTGAAGACTGAGGAGAATCCATTTGACAATAAGTGCAGAAGTCATCCCCACAGAGCTGTCCTTTTACATGTGCACCTTTGAGTTACACCTATCACATCTCCTCCAAAGAGCTCTCTGTCCAAACAGCTAAGGAGAAGCACTGAGATGGAGCATGGGGATACCCCTTGTCATCATGATGCCTGACATCTCTCCTGGTGATTTCCTAGCTTCCTTCTAAAATTGCCATTTTCACCCTTCATAAATCTACATCTCTGACTGCTTCCCCAGAGTAGTACAGCCTCTCTCCATGACACCCAAACCACCACTCCTAAAAATCCATCCTGCAGGAACAGGGTTGGGAGTTGGACTTGCTGATCTTTAAAGATCCCTTCCAACCCAAACTATTATATGGACAGGCACTGTCTGTCTGCTCTCTGCATCTCAAAATTATCAACATCTTATTATCATGCTCCTTATGACTCCGCTTTCCTTCCTAATTTTCCTTTATCAAATATTGTTTTGCTTTTTGTGCATCATGAAAACATAAGCTCTTTTCATCTCTCAGTGACTTTGCTGCTGCTTCCTGTGTTATACATTCCTCCCTATTCACCTCTCCAGCTTACAGCCCAGTCGGGGTCAAATTAGTGTGAAAATACACCTGCTGATGTGTCAGTACATCATTAGTATCCACTACTAATTGAGCACCATGATCCCTCAGTAATAATAAGAAACAGCTTGACTTAGCATAATCTTCCCATAAAGCTTATGATGAAAATTAATCATTATTATGTTGATGTGCTTTTGTTTGTGGGAAAAATGAGGACTCTCACAGTTCCTCTGAATGTGCTTTGTATTTAAATGTTATACCTTACAGACATCTAGACCTATGGGACTCTGAAACTCCAAAAATTAATGTAATTTTTGGTATTTAAGTCTGCTGTTTCGTAATTTGTGAGATTTCTGCTTTGTTTTGATTGCTAAGATATTTTGAACTAATGTCCTAGATGAAGCATTAGTCAATTATGAATGCAAACTGGGCTTCAGAGCCCATTCAAATGCTGGAATAATTGGTTCTTTTGCAAACAAGCTAAAATGCTTTTACTTAATGAGGCTTCAGCCTTACAGTTTTAAAGTGAACCCCTATACTCAGTGCTGAGCAATGCAAATACCATGAAACTCCAACCCAAACCTACACTGGCCACTTGGGAAAGTGAGAAGTCTTAGTGCTTTAGAGTATTTTCATGTACTGTCAGTATAGCTTCAGCATATATGGAGTATCTTAAGAGCTACACAGAGAAGTAGGAGAAAGCTTTCCCCAGAAAAAGAATAAAATAAACTTTGATAGCAAGCACTGAAAAGCTCCCCTCATGACAGCTTAAAATGGGCAAAGTTGCTGTATCCTTTGAAATGTCCCAATTTTAGGGTATTAGATCCACAGTCATCAGCTTGAATCAGAGAATAGTTTGGGTTGGAAGGAGCCTTTAAAGGTCATCCAGTCCAGCCCTCCATGAGCAGGGACATCCCTTGCTAAATTGTGTTGTTTACACTATTTCTTTTGGATAGGCAGGGAAGGAGAATATAAAGGTTAGGGTACTTGGTTTGGTTTAATTGTGGGAATGCAAAGTGTTTCTCATGAGCTTTCTCTCCTCTCTCTGTGCTGTAATGAGCAGGCAGGGGTAGGCATCATTCTTCCTTTAAAACTGGGATGGAGAAGAGAGGAAGGCAGGTCACACATCTGCAGTCCAGTGCAAGGCCATCAGATCTCACATTATTCCTTTGTCTCAGTGCAGAGGCAGCCGGAAAGCACAGTGTGTGATCCAGGAAGAGGAGGAGGTGGTGTACTGCCAATCCCTCTCAGAGAGCATTTGGGAACTTTTTGAAAACTTCTGTGTTTTGGGATTAATGTTTGGGTTAGGCTGGTTTCCAGTGAGTGGTGAAACCAGCACTTTGGATACTGGTAACTAGTCCTCTTAATGGAAAAACAAGGTGGGCAGCTGAAGGTGTCTTGAATTGGGCTTTGGGTTCCTGTGCTGTGTTGGTTTGAAGGACAGTATTCCCCAGTTTGAGCTGTTTATTGTAACTGCTGTTTGTAATTGTTAATTCTTTTAAAAGTATTTATTAATTAAATATTTCATAAACATTATATTTACACTGAAGCAATTATAAAAATGAGATAATGAATAAAAATATTGTTAATTTTTTAAAAAATAAATTTAATTTTCTGGGTAGAAACTTGCCAAATTTTAATTGAAAACATCATTTTATCTGTCTTAGAAAAGCCTAAATTCAATTTTTGAAGTTAATTTTTAATTTTTGTTATATTCTTTAAAATACAAAGACAAAAACTGAGAAAGCCATTTTGCCTGGAGAGAATGATTTGAAGTGCAGGGGTTGCATTTTGCTTATTTTGAGATGAATTCTACCCTACAGCATAGATCAATCAACTCTATAAACTGCTACGCAGATATTGTATCTTACAATGGATTCTGTTGGATTGGATTTTTTTAATCTTAGATAAGTTCAAATCTTAAGAAAAGCAGTGGAAGAAATAGGAATTCACTAGGGAACATAACTGGGTTTGGCTTTTTCTCTTCTTCTGATGGCAAATAGGTGGTTGATACTTTCCAAGGAAAGCTTCTGAAAGAAGAGGACAGGCTGGTTTGAATGAGCTGGACTCAAATGAAAACTGTATTAAGTGTAGGATTCACCAATGAAATTACAGTTCTCATCTTTTTATTTTTGTCCCATATTTATTTTAGACAAGATCTTGAATGCGTGTCAAGGTCCACTGATGTGTCACTAGATAAGTTTTGTTGCGTCCATCACTTTGTAAGGCACCAAATATTAGATAAGACCGATACCAATATCTTGATACACTGTAATCAATTAAGACACAGAACATCCACCACCACCCTGGCCTGAAAGCAGCTCTGATTTAGACATTCAGAGTTCATCAGCTTCTGTTGCTTCACCCTTCTGAATTGTAATTTTGTTTGCTCTTATCTTGACATAAATTTGCCGCGTTTAAAATTAATTGTTTGATTACATGATGATATTGATTACCACTGTTGTTAAAAAGACTTAATTGATTTGTTTCTGCAGTGAACTTGAGGAGAAGGGTGGAAGAAGGAAAAGGAGCTATAGCAACAGCAGCACAGCAGAAGAGATGCCACTGAAAACAAAGAAGGCAAAATTCAGCGAAGAGGAGGAGCCCTATTTGCCATTAGATACTGGGCTTTCTCTGGCAGAGGATGAAGAGCTTGTACTACATCTGCTCAACAGTCACAAGTGATTATTTTTCTGCAGGTTTTCTTTCTGGGACAGCTTCATAATTTTGTCTGTAGTCTACACAGAATTAATCTGGCATCTGGGCAGCTGGGTACCAGCAGGCATAGATAAATGAGTTCCATATACAACGGATTGCCTCAGATTGGCTCATGGATTATAGACAATATTTGGTTTAATTTATAAGGCTTGCTAAATTAACTTTCCAACCTGAAGCCCCAAATGTCATTTTGCAGTAACATGTTCATAATTTGAAATCTCCCAGTTTTTAAGAATTTATCTTTTTAATTTTAATCTTGCTTTACATAAAAACAGAATGTGCCTTTCTTGACTGGATCAAGTTTGTTATTTTAGGATATGTGTACTAAAATTATTAAAGAAGAAATACTGTTGGCAGCTCAAATCACATGACTTAAAAGTAAAATGTATTTTTTCTCCTGTGAATCATGCTCATATTTTAAAAATATTTTAATAAAAATTTTTGAAGCCTTGGTGTAAACTTTTTATGTCTCAGCTTTCTTATGAAAGCATTTATGTGTCCTCCAGTTTTACTTTCTATTATGATTCTGTCACTGGTGTTAGGCGATTCAGAAAACCACTTTTAGAAGCTAAAACTTTGAATTTGCATTTGAATCCTATGTGAATGAGAAGGCAGTGATGCCACAAAAAAGTAGAGCATAACACTGCCTGATAGAATTGGTTAAAAGGTAGATTTTGTAAGAATTACAACTGAAGTGAGCTGCTGCTGTTGTTGTTGTTATGACCAAATTTAATAAAGAAAATTAATTTACTGTTGAGCACATTTTCAGGTTTCATCCCGTCTTACCATGGTTGTTGCACATTTTGTGCATGCTTACCTGTAGCCACTGTGCTTTGATGAACAGCAACAAGAGACATGCTGTGTGGGGCGCCTTTCCTGGGGGAGGGAAGGAGCAAGCATTCTGTCTGAATCAAAACAAAATATGAATGCCATGCCAATTTCTTAGTTATTTGAGTAGATCTGCTTCTCTTGCTTGCACCCAAATGCCAGTTATAAGCCAAATTTGTCATCTTCTTGCTTCCCTTCTTGAATACGTCGTCAAGAATATTGGCACGTTGTTCAGAAAATGTATGGTAAACCCTTCCAGGCAACATGGAGACTGGTGAAAACTGCTGGGAGTGTTGCACAAGTCCAGAATGATCCAGGCAAAGGGAAGGCTGCTGTGTGAGAAAACAAAGGAGAGCAGGAAAATCCAATGTTTTGTTTGCTGGCACAAGTTTATTGACAGCAAACAGGCACCTAAAGTGAAGATTGTCTCTTTTCAGCAGACAGTGTCTTGCATGTCTTAGTGAAGTTTATACAGAGGAGAGTAGGTACAAATGCCTGCAGGCTTTCTCCTGCTGCTTCCCTTCAGCAAACCGTAAGTGCACATTGTCTCAAAAAGTTGTATCTGTTTGGTCTTCCCATCACCTATGTGAAGAACATATTAAACACTCCTCTTTTTTACTTTGACTTTTTCAATTTATTTTTGTTGTTGTTATGGGAGTGTATCAGCACCAGTTCAGTACAAGCCTTTCTTCCTCTCCCTGTACCCTGTACTATCTTTTAGCTTGGTTACCCAAACCTGAAAATATACTGCAAATTCTTGTCTCCAAATGTTGCTTCTGTTGTTCTGCCAGCAGGCAGGGTATCATCAGAACAATATTACAGGCAGAGCACATCTGCCATCTGCTCCTTCCTGACAGCGTGGAACGAGAAGAAATGAGCGAGTTTCACAAACAGCTAAACATGAAAGATGGGACCTGCTTGGCAGCTGATGCACAGAGTTGTGCAGTCCATGGTGCCACAGTGGGCCCTGAAAATACCGTGATCTGAGAGTAGTGTTGCTGATGAATCTTTTAATGAAGAAGGATCTGATACGATGCTGTTGTGACTGTGCTTAGGCTCCAGCACATGAACTGCTGCAGTGAATGTTACAAGCAGTGGCAGCAAATGCCTCTGCACTGGAATAGCTGCTCCTGCAGTTGTGGAGGAAGGTGGCAAATTTTGGTGCAAGGAGAACCAAGAGCAGAAAGTTATTCAAAGATCTTCTGGATGTAGATGGTAATACATATAGTGGTGTATACATTTTGTTCACGTGTTTGTAGTGTATGTTTCAGGGAGGAGCTGTCTTGCCACATCACCTGATGCATCTCAACTCACATCTTTGCTCTGAATTGGTTGGGAATTAGTAAATAGAACAAACAAAAGATTTACCAGTTCTTACTGGAATGTTCCCATTCATATGCAGGGGTGCAAGAAAAGTATTCTTACCCAGTGAACTGAAAGACTGAAAAATGATGTGTATTGGAGAGGTTGTGCTGCACTTCTGTCTTTGTGGTGTTTCCATTGTCTGCATAAAATATTTTTTCAGGTGCTCTTACTTTTGTATTTTGGGATAACAGAGTTTCTAATGTCTTGCCTATTATAGAGCCATTGTTTCTGAATCCTTCTGAAGTTTGCCCATGTACTTCAAATGTGGCTGTCCTTGAGGAGATGGCACGTATCTAGAGCGTGACTCCACAAGCTTAAGGCAGATGCTCCATGAAATAAGAGCTTAGGTCTGGGAACTGTGTCATGTGCTAGAAAGAGCAAGACAAAAAAGCCAGAATTCAGCATTTTAAGGCAGTGGCTGTGATTGTGGGTTTTCATTCCTGTCAGCTGTAGATCTAGTTTAAGAAACTTCTGAGCAGCCCGGCTCCTAGCTGTGCTTCTGGAGTAAGGAAAAAAGTGCAAAGCACCCGGAGTAAATACTGATCTCAGAAATGCAAGGATTGACTTGGCTAAAGGGTGTTTTCCATGGAGCTTGTTTGCATTTCACACCCATGGACCTTTCAATTTGCTGCCAAAAGACCTGGCATGTGTGCCCAGGGCTAACGGGCAGGTGTAGAGCCCAGCTGCAGATGCTACCCTTTGTCTCCTTTCCTCCTGGTCCCAGGTATGACATGTGCTGCTGCAGCATTAGAACAAATCCCAAGATTTAGCAAGTTTGTATTTCACGTGCATTATAACCCTATCTTTAAACAGGAGAGATTGAAGTGTGGAAATAATTTGGTGTGCCTGTAATCAAAGACTTCATTGACCACTGCATGTTACTGAATCCACAAATCTGCAAAGCACTTGAGATTTAGTGAGAGCAGCCTCCCACTTGGCATGAGAACTGCTTGTTGTGCAGGGCCTTAACCTTCAGGTCTTGTGGTGTCTGGTGCTCTGAGGGATTTCAGGCTGCTTCTCACCCCTGTAGGCTTCAGCCCTCCATGAGGAGGAGTTCCCTTTGGGGGACTCCTTTTGGAGAGATAGCAAGGTCTTGAGTATAGTGTTGAGTATTTTCCAAGGCCATCAGCCAGAGGAAAGCCTTACACAACCAAGCAGGAAATCTTGTTTTAAACAATGAATTTTCATAGTATTTTGCATTGGTACTTTATAGTAATTGCAGTCTTTCTGCTGCTAGAATGGTTCCAATGTGTTGATTGGGTAGCTTAGCTTTAGTTAAGACTAAATCTAGTACATTTAGCTAATTCTGAGGATATACATTAGGGATTTATATAATGGTGTAGTTTAGCAGGCTTTTATTTTGAGTCAAGTTTTCTCTTTGTTGCATGCAAGATAATAGAGACATTTGTTTACTGGATAATTTATTACAGTTTGTTTGAAGCCTCTTTTGGATGGAAAATGGAAGTCAGGTAAAAGTTATTAAAGCATTGAATTTGGGGTTTTTAGATTAGTTAAATAGACTGAACGTTGTAGCTACTAGAGGTGTCCAGCTTGCAGTGTTTTCATGAGACATAAAATGTGTCGTTCTGCCTCAGCATCATAGGTATTTCCATTAGGGGTTTGCTTTCTAAAGACTTTATTGATGCAGCACATTAAATTGCGTGGAGGTTGTAAGAAATGTAGGCTTGAAAACAAGTTGGTTGCAAATTAATGTTCAACATTTTAAATCAGTATTTTCCTTTAAATACTGTATGAATAGAAATAAAATATAATTTTTGTTCCTCCGGCAACTGTCTGAATGCAGCTGAGTATTGACTGGTGTGTCCTGCTCTCTGGCTAGACTCATAAAGGAGGAGAAATGCCCAAAGCAAAACATTAAAAACTAGAGAGCTGTGGTAGAGAACATTGAATTCAGACTATAAAAAAAATAGTACAAGATCTGAAGATACTGAAGGGACCCTGTGGGTTCCTGTAATCCTGGATACATATGATAAAACTGATAAAAAGCACAGGAAGATAATGTCTCTTAGTAAAGATTGCAGATGTGTGTTTTTCCATATCGTGCTGCTCCCTGGTTTGACGTGATTGATGCTCATTTCTTGTGAGAGGTTGAGCATCCCCTGTAGCAGGGATGCTATGCTATGGCACAGGCTGCTGCTGCAGAAATGGCCTCTGTGGTTCAGGATGTAGCTGCTTTTATGTTGGAAGGCACTGCCCCAGCCCTAACCTCCCTCTGACTAATAACCTGAAGTTTAAATTAAGCTCGTTGGTTCTGTCCTGAAACAGATTAATCCTTAATGCCCGTTTTGCTAACTGGGCAGAGGGCTGGTAACAGGCAGTTGAAGGACAGTAACACTTTCTTGTGCAGTAGCTGCTTTTGCTCTTCATTTGAAAGGGACTTTGAGCAGAGCATTGCAAAACCTGAACTCCAAGAGAAATACAATTTCCAATCAATAAGCTTAGTAAGAAAAGACTATTACCTTCACTTTTGGACCATATTTCATTAGATTTCTTTCTTTTATTGCTCTCCTCTCTGGTGTTTGCATCTTCTCTGAATATAGTCTCATCCTTTCAGATTAATGTTTTATTCTCAGAAGGATCTGCAAGTTTTATCTTTAAAAGGTGGGCTTAGATGCCAGAAAATTGCACTGCCATCATCTTTGTAAATCATAAAAATTACTGTCAAGGCTTTAGTTTATACCAAGTGAACACTTTGATAATGAAGTACTCTGCAAACTTCAAAGGCAAATGAGTCAGTCAAGAACATCAACGAATTAGAAAGGCTAATGCAGAAGAAGATTCTTTTCAGGCCTGCTACGATTAAATCAGTAGAGAGAAGCCAATCTGTTTCAGGAATGCGTTGTGCGTTGCCTATTTTTATC